GTTGACCCAACTTTGCAACCTGAAAATCATATTTCAAGTCGATTCAAATGATCTTAAAATGACACGAACATGGTTGTAAACTCTCAAGCATTAGCTAGGAAATGACTTTTTTAGATACAATTGCTGGCTTTATGGTAGCCCAAGAATGTACTCTTAAGGAGTGTATGCGAATAGTCCATCTTGCCTAATCGTGAATCGATTCTCAATTGCGATGCGGTTCTAGAAACATAAAGCCCTTTACTTTCAGTGGCAGGTATCCTAGCGGTTAAGAGCGTTGGGCCAGTAACCAGAAGGTTGCTGGTTCGAATCCCCTAGGTGCTAAAATCTGTCAATGTGGCCTTAAGCATGGCACTTAACCCTAATTGTAAGTCGCTCTGGATAAGCACATCTGCTAAATAAAAGAACATTTAAAATGTCTTTCACATCAAAATAATGTTTTAACTGGCAACACAGTTGCAGCCAACAGTATTTTTCAGTTACAACACGTTTCTGGCAGTCTTATTCTGTTACAAGGAGCATGCTAGCCTTTGATTATGACTCTCAGTTCCATTCCATTACACATAAAAGTCATTGGACGAAGGCATCTTCTTTAGTGGGGAGCTCGGTCTGAACATTAACACGCATCGCTTGAGTTATGGTTTTGGAAGCATAAGGACCTTATCTTTCATATGGGGGAGAAATAATTTTCAAAAAACAAAAAGTTAAATTGATACACATCTTTATAGGGTTAGGGTTTCCACACTGCCATATTTCCATGTTACAGCGCTTGTTTACAGAAAACAGAGTGGACTACCTGTGCTAATTAGCTATCTGAAGACAGACACCACAAAGGTGTTGTCACTGAAAAATACTGTCGGCTGCAACTGTATTTAAACCGGTTAAAACAGTGTACCGTAAGTGTGTATTTTGCATTTGTGACATTATTATGATGTGATATGAAAGGTATAGAGGGATTTATGTTTCTAAACGGCAATTGAGAATCATTTCACGTTTAGATGGAGTATTTGGCTGTTTTGGCTTCCAGAGTCAATTCGCCTTTTAAACAGAACATGTAAGGTCCTTGGACTAAGGAGTACAGTAACATTAGCCTACTTTAGTCCTATAGGAACATGTTAGATCATTAGCACAGGTGGTAACCTCTGTCTTCCATAAACACACGCTGTAACATGAATATATGGCCGTGTGGGAACACACTAACCCTAACTGTCTTGTTTTGTATGCTTTGTACAAAATAATAAACTGCAGGACGACAGGATATTTATAAACGTAGCTCTTTATTAACTAGCTATAACTGGCATGTTCATGTGTCTCCGGCCATGATCATCTTTAGAATGACCTTACCACCTGGGTGGTCTTAACCAATCATAGCACAGTATGATATGACAGTAGAATGCATCCAATTACAATTCAGTATGCAGACACATATGAATATTACATCCCCCTTCTTTAAAAAAAAGAAAAATACGTTGAACAACAAAGCGTTTATTTTGAATACATGCTCTGTAGTTTGAACTCGAGGTAAGTAACCATTTAAACTGCACCAACTGCATCAACATAACAGACTGAAACAATGATTCAGCATACTGTTATTTTTAGAACAAATATTTCTCAGCAACTCAGCTTTTCACTGTAGCATTGACATCTCAACATATCAAACAAATATAATACCAAAGCATTTCAAGTTAACTTTTCAATAACAAGTTTACAGTCCGGAACTCTTTTAGGGCAGCGATCCGCCTACACCATTTTACATTTCACAGGTGTAGGACAGCTCTAGGCTTGACCTCTCTTCCTGACCTTGTGTGATATGAAGCTGAGTATGCTTCTGTGTCAGTCAACAGTTCTTGTGGTGTTGCAGGTCAGTATGGTGTATGTTGTGTTGTGTGTGTGTTTAGTCCATCCCGCTTCTCACACCATGTCTTGTTTTGTATGCTTTGTACAAAATAATAAAATGCAGGACGACAGGATATTTATAAACGTAGCTCTTTATTCATGTGTCTCCGGCCATGATCATCTTTAGAATGACCTTACCACCTGGGTGGTCTTAACCAATCATAGCACAGTATGATATGACAGTAGAATGCATCCAATTACAATTCAGTATGCTGACACATATGAGTATTACACTAACCATAATAAAGGTGTGTATCAATGTAACCTTTTTTTTGTGTGAAAATTATTTATCGCTGATATGAAAGATAAGGTCCTTATGCTTCCAAAACCGTACCGGCGCAAGCGATGCGTGTTCACGTTCAGATCAATCGTCAGGGCTCTTAACTAAATTTAGCCGGGAAGAAGATAGCTACTGTACCTTCTTCAGCGCTAAAGGTAGTTAGCTAGCGTCTGACTATGAATGGGGTAAGGTTAGCTTTATGGTAGTTAATTTATTATGCTTATTAATACTAGCTAGCTAGCTGCCTGGAAAAGCCAACATAAGCCTGGACAACAGAGAGATCGCAAGAAAGTTCAAGGTTTGCCATGTCATCCCAAACATTGCTAGCTACTTCTGTAAATACTCTGTATGCATACAAGTTGAAAGCGTAAATCACTCACATTCTTTACAACTCCACTGTCTCGGATGTTTAAGATTATCATCCATTTTTCCTTGCGTTGACAGATGTAGCTTGCAACTTCCTGGAGACCCGGAGCGTCACACAGCAACCATCTCCATGGTGACACCAATTAGGGGGCGTGGTGTTTGGTCCATGCTCGAGAGGCATAGCGGTCTGGTAGAAGAACAACTGGCCTTAAACGTAGATATTACAAAAATACATTCATCATCATCAATTTAGCCAAGGCTGTCACAGTCATGTAAAGAGCCTGTATTAACTCTGTTATTATTAGCCTTACATGCCCTGTAGTCAAGGTTTGGTATAGCTCATTTGAGTTTATGGCAAATAAACTGCAGAGTTTATTTTTGTTAGTCAATGGGTAGTTGGGTGCATGCCAGCAACTGGACTGGAGGTCCAGTATTGTTTACTAGGATATTGCCAGTAGATGTTGATTTAAGCCCATTGGAACTGGCCATATATAGAGATGCTGATATGGAACCTCACACTGGAACTACACCAAATATTTCATACCAGTACGTTCATGTCATTCATGACCTGAAACATCATGCTACATCTCGATCAATTTTAGTGGTAGAGATTACTGAAATTATATTGTATAAATCATTGGAGAAACAACTTTAACAAAATTGAAGGACATAGGCACTTGTTGGACATATGCCTATATGCCGCCTCAGACGCAATAACTCAAACTATCAGCATACAGGCTAATACAGGCTTATCAGAATCACCTTTATTCGCAAAGTACATTTACACATACCCAGAATTTGCCTTAGTGAGAAGGTGCTGCCAGCAATAGACAAGTCCACATACTGTAGACATCATACAGAATATACAATAGGCCTATCAAAACAGTAAACATAAAACATAAAACTCTGGAGTATAGGCTAGTTACAGTGGGAATATACCATTTATAGAGGGGATATATCTATATAAGCAGAGGGAGGGATGATGCGGTGACATCACCCTCTGAATGGCACGCATAGACAATCCATGTCTCAATTGTCTCAAAGCTTAAAAATCTGGTCTCTTGGCATCACTTACCCCAGGTATGGGGTAAGTTGAGCCATGGGACAGTGTAAGTTAAGCCGCCTACAAATGTCTGTATTGAATGACATTTTAACACTACCTTTATAAAACTATGTCTATCTTTATTTCCCAAATTCAACACAATCACAATCGTCTTTTGTCTTTTAATCATTTTAAGCATCTTTTAACACAGGCTTAATATCTAACAAATAACATAGGCCCTGTTGTTACCGCATATCCTAGCGATAATTCCTTGCATTATGCGTGGGAAAAAAACACTTCAATTTGCTCAACCATTGGCTCAACTTATTGGTTTGAGTGTATTAGCCCACAAGGGACAAACCTTACCTTACATTGAGGAGATCTTTAGATTTTTCAGTTAAGTGCCTGCACCTGCTGCCTTTTCAAATCCAAGTGTTTCAGTTGGGCAGTTAGGTTCCTGCAAGAACCCCCACCAACTAAAGAAGTTCCTCGATGAACCCCACTTCCTATGGGGTTCTTGGAAGCATCTTTTGGGGACCATTTTCAGTGCCAAGAACCCTAAGGTTCTTCAAAGAACTTTGAGGATCTTAGAAAACCTTGTTGAACCCCTAAGTTTTAGAGTGTATGTCCTTCTTTGCCGTACCTGACCACACAACTGGACAGTAGTCCAGGTGCGACAAAACTAGGGCCTGTAGGACCTGTCTGGTTGACTGAGATATCAAGAAAGCAGAGCAACGCCTTATCATGGACAGACCTCTTCCCATTATGTGTAACCATTGAGTTTATATGTTTTGACCTGATAGCTTGCTAACTAGGGTGACACCCAGCAGTTTAGTCTCTTCAACTTGCTCAATAGCCACATTATTCAATAATAAATCCAGACCAGGGTTGAGCCAGTGAATTGTCTCACAAAATATGCATTTCGTTTTTGAGATATTTAGCACCAGCCTATTGCTAGTTACCCATTCTTAAACTGACTGGAGCTCTATGTTAAGGATGGCAGTTATTTATTTTACTGTAGGCCCATTCTATCACTAAATTATTGTCGGAATTTCAAGTCATATGCTATGCAGTGGATCGTCTTCCGCATTAGCTTCATTTATCCACTAGGGGGCAGACGGTCACTTCTTGAAAATGTCCAAAGCTCTTGTGTGATCCAAACTATTTTATGACCTGACGTGCCCACGTAGGCTATTATTTGTATAAATTTATGAACTACCGTATAGGACAATCACAAACAAGTTGTTGATTTTTCTATATTACATGACACATGGCTCCAAATAGACAGACATCATAGAGTGTGAAATGCGCTCCCAGAAATGTCCCAGAGGAATGATAATCTGCAATCCCTCCTTCTCAGACGTCACAACTACCGCTTACTATAAAGTATCAGTGAAATCACAGCGCGCCCATTGAGGACGATACTCTTGTTGCGCAAAGGGGACAGAAGCGTGAGGGAGAGCGGCACTGACTTTACACCAGCAACAGTTGATGGAAAATAAAAAATGCAATGGAGAAAGTACATTTAGTCATGATGAACGAATGAAGAGGGAAAACGGACGATGTCAAGGGTGTGATATAACATTTGAAGGAAGAACAGAAAGACTACAGATTGAGTGAAAAGGGGTCTCAGATAAGATAAAGATAATTTTCAAGAATGATCTGGACTATTCTTGGAATGGACACCCGGATAGCACCCAGATGACACTAGCCCTATATTGACAAGATGGGATTCCTCGGGGGAAAGAACTCATTGACCTCCTGAATGCAAAGAGATAGAGGATAACATTTCACCTGGAATTTAGTGCAAATAATTTGGTGTCTTTTTCTGTTGCTCCTTTACCATACTTTCTTATATTTCATCGGCTTATTAGCTAAGCAAGGGCAGATAGAAATATGCATTTGGGTAAAGCACTTCTGTTTTTCCTCCTGTTGAACTGTGTGACCATGACTTTGTCACTATCCACTTGCACCACTGTGGACATAGACCACATAAAGAAAAAGAGAGTAGAGGCAATCCGAGGACAGATTCTCAGTAAACTTCGACTGACCAGCCCGCCGCAAACAGTGGGTCCGAATCAGGTACCGTTTCAGGTGCTGTCGCTCTATAACAGTACGAAGGAGCTGATCGAGGAGTTGGGAAGAGACAGACAGCAAAGTTGTGGACAGGATAACACAGAGACTGAATATTACGCCAAAGAGATTTACAAGTTCAATATGATTCATGGACCACCAGAAAACAGTAAGTGCTGTTCATTTATCTATTTTACGCGTTTTACGCATGAAGGCCACTTTTCTACCCATGCGCTTTGTTCGTTTTGTCAAATCATGATCCTACCAACAGCTGATCGTGTTGCCACGGTGGCTTCTATTCACAGGAGGTTGGTGGTATCTTAATTGAGGAGGACAAGCTCGTGGAAATGGCTGGAGCGGAATAGGTGGAATGGTATCAAATTAGGGCTGACCCCATTTAGTCGACTGGTCAAGTGTTTGGTCCATAGGCTGTTGGTCAACCAAGATTTTTTTAGTTGAGCAGTGGCAAATATATATATATATATATATATATATATATATATATATATATATATATATATATATATATATATAAATGTATGACACACCAGACACCTGTCTGATTCATGCCTGTCTGAGTGGACTTATCTGAAGACAGAGGCTGCGGGGATGACACACCAGTATCACCAGTTTACCATTTACCGTTAATGACCATCATTTATCATCTACAATGTTTGTTTGGTTATGGTCATTTCTGTTAATACATTCAATATATTAGTATTACAGTATTACGGTTGTCATTGTAGGAGTGGACACGTTGTTTGCAGAGTGCAAAACCTAGGCTACACTTGTGGGGGAAAAGTGTTGGTTTATTTCATTTCATTTATGAGTTGTCAATTTTATTCATTGTCTTTTGTTTGGAACTCTCCTGTCAATCTTGAGTAAGGACACGCACCTGATTATGCATATAACTAGCCCTAGGTTTATAAATGTGCCCATTTGGGGATCTGATACTATTTCTGATTGTCTTAACTCACCATTACTGTGGAGCTTTTCAAAGTAATTTTTTCTAAGCCTAAAAAAAAAAGCAAGTAAACAAAGCCTGTTTTTACATCCATTGAGAATGACAATAGTTCCTCAACATAGCCTATTTGAAAAATATTTCCAGCTTGCTCCATTTCAATTACCGCTCAGCATGAAAGGGGAAAAAATGTAATGCTCTGTTCCGGTGGAAATATCATAAAAAAGGCCTACCTGATTACTTCTTATCCCTTGCGCAAATAGCCTACAGCTGTGTCTGTCTGTGTCTGGAGCTCACTGGCGCAGGAAACTCTGAGGGCCCAGAATATTTTATACAATGTTGCAAGTTTGCTAGCTGCAAGCTTCAGGCTGGACCCAAGTTAAAACTTGATACAATGTTTCAAGTTCCTTGCAGACAGGCCCTGCATAGCCAATGTGATTTATAGGATATTTATTTTTATCAGGATATTTTCTACCTGAAGGCTGCAATGTTTTTATTTGTTGGCTTTATGTAGGCTCTTTTATTACATATTGGCAATATAAGTTACTTTGAGATTTGTATCATTTTCATTTGGATAGAATTTGGATTAACCACATTACATTGATTTTGAGATATGAAAACTATTATAAATTAAATAAATAAAAAAAATCCACAAAAATCTGGCACGCAGATCAGTAGAAATGGTAAGATAACTTGGCACTCCAAATGGAAAAGGTTGCTGACCGCTGTTACAGCCTATTACTGGCAACTTCAGGTGCTTAATGGCAGAATCTGCGAAGGCCAGCATCAGCGGGCAGTGGGAGGAGGATGGTCAGGTCAGGAACAGGTTTTTTTCTTCTGGTTAGGCTATATATTGATCTCTGGCTCCCTCTTTAGAAATGTGTGTTTTCATTTTTAATTGCAGTGATTTCCATGTGTTTGATTCCATTCCATTCGCTCCATTCCAGCCATTATTATGAGCCATACTCCCCTCAGCAGCCTCCACTGCTTTATATTATGTTAGGTATGCTTCTGATCAAAACCCTGCTTAGCTAAATGTAAATAGCCCATTTCTCCATGGAGAGAGTCTGGGCAGTCCAGGTCTGATGATGCCTAATTTCTTAATCTGAATGTCCCAGCTGGTGACCAGCTCATGCAGATGTAATATTGATCTCTGGTGGTTTGCCATAGAAATGATTGAAACTAATAGAGGAACATACCTCTCCAATAAAGACAAATGTAGTATGAAAGATCAGTATAGCCTAGCCTAAAACAAATGAAAGCAACTTTAAAAAATAATTTTCATTGAGAACTGAAGAAGAATCTCCATATAGCCAATGTATAACTCCCCTATTCAAAATGTAATTCTTCTGATTCCGCTGCAGAGTTAAGCCCCCTGTGTCCAGTTTATGTGTCAGTGTGCAATGCAAGCAGTCTATGATTTATTTTATGGCATTTGTCCATACAACTGCCATATGATATGTTCCAATTCCAGCTGAATTGATCTATAAAAGCACCCGTAGAACTGCAGCATAGGCTAAAACCTACTGTAAAAACATGGAGACGATGTTAACAAATTGTACTAATGAAATAACGCAAGAAATAACGCAACAACCCTGCTCCGCCTAAAGAGGAATTTGCCAACACAACGTTAACGCACGGTCGCATCCCTGCGCAGTGGAAAGAGCGCGACTGATGGAGGGCAAAGCAAACAGTCTAATTGGCGTGAGCGCCATTCCTCCCTCATACCTCACATAAAAGCCATGGGAACTCCCAATAGCCGACCCAGCACAGGACCATTTGAGACATTCCATTGGAACACTTTTTTCAGGCACGCCGGTGAGTTTTAGCATCACTCCAACCACTGCTCCAACCACTGCTCCAATTACAGTTTTTTCCCAACTCCAGATATAATTAGTTCCCAAACCTTTTGGGATTCTAAGACCATTGTTTTATCATGTATTGTGTTCACCTCACCACTGTTTTCTTTATTGGCACTATTTAAAAGTTCAAACACAGCTAATTCAGCTGCAAATTGACTTGTGCACTAGAACAAAATTGTCTTGCTCATCCTAGTTGTCATTTCCTGTATAAACGGAACAATTGATTGTTCCAGTCTAATCAGAGTGAGAAGTTTATTGGAGCATCTCTCTCTATTGCAGTGAATTGTTTAAAGAAGGGAATTGTTTACTAAGTGGAAGACTTGGAGGCCTATTCACTGTTCAGATGCTGGATCATTGCATCATGTTACTTCTTTATAATCAACAGGTGTTTAAAGCCATTCAATGACATTGAACAGAGCTTCCTCTGGCAACAGCTCAAGCCCCTGTGTCAAATATGTTTCCTGAGGGCTTCTGACTCTCAAAATAGTCACTACTACAACCATCTTGGCCAGAGGTAGCTAGAGGCCGCAAAACAAACAGAGGTCTGGTGCGTGGGCTCTGGGCTGCATCATAGCCAGGAGCCCTAGTCACATCACTCTGTCATGACACTGTCATGAGCATAGTAAATAAACAGGGCCTATTGGCCACAGTTGTCACAAGGGCCGGCTCCAGGCATAAGTGACATAAGCGGTCAACCAATTTTTATTTTATTTATTTATTCTAAAAATATATATTTTAGGAACTCAGTCAGGGTCAGGGTCTCAACTAACAGTTGAGAGTTAATTTGATGGAAACACATCTCTGGTGGGATATATTGTTTTTATGCAGATTTTAGAATCTAAAATCTTCATAAAAACAATATATCCCACAAGAGATGTGTTTCCATCAAATTGACTTTTTGCAGATAAAAGGCTGTGTTTGATAATGTAGTGCACATAAAAAAATAACATTATATAGCGTGTGCCCACTCTGGTATTTTCAAGCGCACGTATAGCCTACATGATGAGATTTTATGGACAAAAGAGCGAGATAATTTTTTCAAACGGCAGCCACGCATTGATTATCATGTCACCAGAATAAGACCCTAGATATTTATCGGACAGGAGCATCAAGCTCATCACCTTGCACTTTCACCACCCTGTGAAGTTCATCATAACTCTGTAGCTTAATAAACTGCATGATTTCCCGACAAATTGTAGTGGGAGGACCACACATGTCATCGCGTGACTCCAAGTTTACATCGATATGATGGTTATTATATCAATATTTGCACATAAAAGCGTTTCCACCAACATTTCTCACATAATTAATTTTATAGACACAAAAAGATATCACCTTGTCTAGCGTATTTTGTTTTGACAACATTTGGAACGTTTATTGAACATTTTTCTGTTTCCATCTGGCCTGTCATGACATTTCTTATCCGACATGTACTTTACTGGCATAAAAAGGTTGGATGGAAACCTGGTTACTGACAGTCACTCAATTAGCCATGTCACCTAACCATTTTTAGATTGGTAAATTAGTCTAGCCAGTTATGTAAACTTGTAGTAATCATGGCCGAATACCGACCGGGCACGCAGGGCACGTGCCCGGGGCCCTGACCTCCAGGGGGCCCCCATAGATTTTTTAGTCACTCTGACTCAGATATCATTAACATGGCATAACATGGCCCCCAACCAAATCTCGCTTAGGGCCCCCAAAGGCTAGAGCCGGCCCTGGTTGTCACTCATTGGCCATTGAACTAGACTAATTCCATTAATCTCGTACATTTACCTAAATGTAGCCTACAATGCACTTTTTTCCCCCTGTTGTTTTCTCTTTGTTTAATCCTGTTCTTTGTTCATGTCCAGATACACCCTCTAGAGGAGACTGTAAGGGAGGGAGAGTGTTTGTCCCCTCAATAACAAGGCCTGCAGTGTGGATGAATAATCACTTTTCTCTTCCCTTCACTTTCCATTATGTAATTTTCATATGAAGAAGGGCCTGTTTCAGTATCAGTGAGCGTAATGTCTATCACCACAGTAATACAGCAATACATATTTTCATTTCATTTCCATAATCTAATGGGTTTTACATACACTCTTTTTGGAAGGTGGGAATATCTTGGATAATTTTCAGATTGGTGCTTTTTCACTCTTTTTATTACTCAGTTACAGGGCTGAGTGTAAGACGAAGAGACTTTTCCTCCCAGACTCATATGCTTTAATAACTAGAGTAATTTGCCAAAATACTCATGGTACCATTAGTTAGGTGTCTCTGAATATAAACAGTGTTTTCCAGTAAAGCTGTGGATATGACAAGTGCAGATGGGAGCCATTTGGTGAACACTGGTAGAGGAGCCAAACTAACGCCACAAGGGCCAAGCGTCTCCATAATCCACAGCACCCAGTCCTAGGTTTGGTTTGGGTACTGAACTCCAGTTGTAATCACTCATCCACATATATTAGCACTCATTCACTCTTTATGTTGACATTTGGCATAGTACGTCTGTCCAAAGACAACCACTGAACCATCTAAGAATACCACCTATTGGCTCTCATAGCTGCAAATTAGGCGAAACCAGGTTTATTTAGAAGAAAAGCATGCAGTGAGTGTTTTGGCATAGGGCAATCATTGATTCAGCGTTTGGAGGGAAGGAGAAAGATGTGGACCGGAGCTGAGAACAGCAGTGTTTCTGATATATGGAATTGTAGAAAGGTGATGTCATCCCAAGCAAACAGACTTCTCTGGTCCATTCCGAAAGACAGCCCCCCCATCCTTGATCAAGTGGAAAAAAGCTGTCTTACTTCAGCAGAGAACTCCATCACATTATCTCATCTATAGCAGTCAGCCACAGGGCTCCATGTGTAGAGACTTACTCAGGACAGGAGAGCTGGAAATGTCTTGTTCTGAGGAATGTCTTGGTCTGAGGAACGTCTTGGTCTGAGGAACATCTTGGTCTGAGGAATGGCTTGGTCCACACTAGAGTGTTGTGTTTAAATTACAGTAGCACACACAGGTGATTATGGCTGGTATATTGTTATTGACATGACCATTCATTCATATGTAATAAGTTTGTGTCGCAAAAGTGTGAATTGTAATTGAATAATAATTTGAGCAGTAAACTCTAATGTTTATTCATCTGGAGATAGCTATAATATTTTATTGACATATTAGAAAGCATGATTGGTTACTTATTATTTTAAGATAAAACTGTTAGTTGAAAAAATGCTACGGTATGTGTATGGCCTTCAGGATAAAACAGATTAGTCTAATAAGATTAGTTATTAGACATTAGAATACCAGCTTTTGCAATGCCGTTGCCATTTTTCACTGGTAAACGAGGTCCAGACTCCTCAGCAGCTGGCCAGCACCTGCTTTCTATGCTCCCCATTTCCTTTGTTTACCTTCACATAGCTTTGGCGAGACTGACATCACGGCCGGCCCTCTGGGCACTGGGAACAGGCTGATTGCTGGGAGTGTTTGATGGGAGCTTCTGTGTGATGTCACCTACCAGGGCAGGGAGAGGAGAGGAGCTAGCGTGGTGGGGCATCCCAGACACAGGAAGCAGTGAGGTGAGGGCGGAGGGGGACCAGTGTCTGTCTAGGGTGGAAGCTTTATGAGAAGCTTTAGAACAGAGCTATTCAAAGTCTGTCCTTAGGTGCTCCTGTGTGGAATATTTCACTACTATTGCAACCCTCACCTAATACTCTTCTATTGACCAGGCATGTTATTGATCTAGAACATGAATATCTAGTCAACTGCTCAACATTTTGACTACAAATACACTGCTGTCAAGTTTCAGCGTTTATTCGCCAGGTGCACAGGATACAACAGGTGTAATACAGTACAGTGACATTCTTACCTTGAGAGATCTTTCCCAACAATGCAGTGATAATGACAATAATAATAATATAGATAATAGGAAATATCACAACAAATAAAAGTAAGAATAAAAACCTACGATGAGCGTTAAAGAACACCAGAATGCAAGTATATACAGGTCAGTGCCAGTACTTTATCAATGTGCAGGGGTACTGGAATTGTTAGTCCTCAGCCCCGCAGTCCATGGAAGTCATTGCAGACACACTGCCACATATAAAAGAGAAAGGTTACAAAAAGCAGGACCCCATTTTCAGTCCCTTGGGAAAAGTGGGAGAGGTATTTGTACCACTTCATATGAAATGCCATGAAAACCTTGTATTTACATAGTAGTTACCGTGTAGATACAACATTTTACATAGTGTGTAGTACGTAACTATGATACCTGTTTGTGGTTTGTGTCATTACACACAGGATTTATTACATGTATTATATTTGCAAACAAAGCCACATTTGGACAGCTTTCTTTCACCACAAAAGTTACTATTTTCAAAATTTTCACAATGAATCTCAAAAGAAAGGTGAATAACCTTGAGAAATGGGAAGGACTACAATATAATGGAAGTTTGTCACATTGACAAATAAACTATTTTGAGGGGCCATAGAAGCTCTTTGGTTGCTTCAGATAAAGTTCAGGTCAAGATCCCGCTGATGTCAGCATGCTTATGCTGCTGGCCTTATAACCAGATCTGATAATGGAGAGGAGAGAGACTGTAAATTAGCCTGCTGTGTATTTCACTCTAATTATGCTGGCAATCTCTTACACTCACAGCCATGGAACAAATTACCTTCAGACCCTTGACAAAAATAACCCATAATGTGAAATCCACCTAAAACCATTGCAATGGGAAAAATGAGGTCATCCAAAAGGAAACCAAAGACTTGATTAGAATTTCAAATCTCATCTTGAAGGGGGGGGGGGGGGGGGTGGGTTTGAGACAGGCCAAGGGAGTAGAGGGCTACTGAGCCCTTATAGATTGTGAGGAAGCACAGGACAGATATTTGGCTAGGGGTGAAGAGTCTAACGACTGAAAAGGTCACATATAAATAGGGGGACTTCAAAATAAAATAGTCCATGGAAATATCAGATAATGGCTATGCCGCGGTGAAATAGGATTATGGGTCATAGGAAGTTTAGGTAGATGTGTGAGCTCACAATGCATTGTACACAAACATCCTTCTCCATTGCTATAAACAGATCTAGATTCATGTCAACCAAAGGTGTGATATCCTTGTTAACCATCACCAGCGAATCACAGGGTCTCTAATAAAGCTCAGGCTTGGGGTTATAAATTAGCGATGGCTTGGCTGTAAATGAGTGTTTCCACTTGGCTCGTAAAACGCTTGCCGTGTGCTTGTTTTGCTCAACGCTGCATGCGCTCTGCCTGTTAAAATAATAAACGATTCAATGGTATTAGGGTTGGAAAAAAAGAAAAGCTTCCTTGACTGGGCAGTGCAACAGGAAGTATTTCAGAAGGGGCCCATCGAGAAGTGTTCTGTGGCTGTTACTATAACTACTGTACTGTACTACTGTAGCTGAGTTCACTGTCTGCCTTACACAACCACACCACACAGGTTGACAGGACTGGTTCCCCTTCCAATTGATGGTTAAAATAACCTTAAGGTGCTTCTCTCAGTTATACATTCAGCCCCCCTGACAAACAGTCACTGAAGGACTCTCTCTCTCCCTTTTAAATAACACATTGATTGAGCTAGTGGTATGTATCTACCTGCAAAGTGACTGAACTGAGCTAAACTGGTTGTTCCAGGGAACACTTGGCTTCTGACGTGTTGAGCTCTGGAGCAGGAGGCAGGGAGGAGGAGCACCCTGCCATCTCAGCCCAGCCTGTTCAGTTCCACCAACACATGGGACATTTGGTTTTCATTTCATGACTTCAACTTGTTGCTAACTCGGACTGCACAAAGCATAAACAGATGGCCCAAGGCTTCATTTTATTCACTGGCAATGGTTGGAGAATGGTTAACTGTATTTCTTCTGTTGTAAAGGTCATTCGTTTGGAATGTCAAACACTACGAAATGCAGAAGATATACAGATAAAAGATTGAAAAATAATTAAAGAGTGAAGACTTTAGTCACAGTCCTTCTGTGTGAAAGCAGTGAGGATTGCATCATTAGAGTTGTGTTTTAAGGTGAGCCACTTTGTCTCTGTGTCCTGCCCTGCAGATGACCTTCCCTACTGCCCCAAGGGCATCACTTCCAAGGTATTCCGCTTCAACGTCTCGGCCATGGAGAAGAACTCCACCAACCTCTTCAGAGCCGAGTTCCGAGCCCTTCGTGTCCCCAACTCTAGCGCCAAGAGGAACGAGCAGAGGATTGAGCTCTACCAGGTGTGTGAACGTACTATTCCATTCCCACTGTACTCAAGCATGCGGGTGTGTAGTGATCCAATTCTCCCATACAAGCATCAAAAAGTCCTGAATTGACAGGAGCTCGTCCCTTTAAATGAAGGCTAAAGCTAGGTTAAACACTGAAAATGAAGTGGGGGCAGTCAATGTTTTGACCCCTAGTTGCACCGCACTTTCCCAAACCATCTTGCTGTTCAATGTGTAAATTGATGTTTTTTAAACTGTAGTGCTTTGTGTTTTATGTTGTGAATATGTCTGCAACTTTGTGTACTGCTATTTTGTCCAGGTCTCGCTTGTAAAATAGATTGTTCATCTCAATGAGACTAACCTGGTCAAATAAAGGAAAAATAATATATAAATAAAATATGTCTCAATGCACATGGGACAGTGAAGTCAGTCTACATGGAAAGAAGAAAACATTTATATCAGGGCCCCTAACTCCCCCTCTCTTTAAGTGATGATCATTATTCCATGTGCCTCAAGTCAAGTACATTTGCACACAATTCAGAGCGTGCTACAGCAGACTCTGAGAAACTCTAGATTACCATTTTGCAATTGCTCCTTTCACAGCTGTCAATCTCTGAGCTTTTGTCCAACCACCCTTTTTTTCCAAGTTCAGTTAGATGTTTTCAACAAGGGATTCAGACATCTGCACCTGTATTTGTGTTTTTTAGGATGTATGTATGTGTTTCTGAGTGGTGTGTGTGTGTGTGTGTGTGTGTCCGTGGATTGTGGGGTGTATGTGGGTGGGGTGGATGGGATGGATTTTCGTTTCCTCATTCATCTCCCGTGAGAGACTGGGAGCTATGATCAGGTTCCAACATTTCCTGCCAGGGAGACAAGCGTCTCCAGCCTGCATACCGCCTCTGAGGCAGGCTACTCTCTGGCCAGGGCCGAGCTCAGCTCAGACTGGCTGTCAGGCCCCCAGATTCTTTCCAGGAGCCCAGAGGAGATAGAGGCAGGGTCAGCCGCTGCGCTGGAGGATTAAATGAAGCTGCTCGCCCCCACACATTAGCCGGGAGCTGATTGGCAGGCGCTGGCCGTGCTCTCTTGCTGGGTCCCCTGTTCCCACAGGAAGCCGGATTAGAAGCTGACAATGTTCAGGAACCTGTTTATGCAGCCTGCTGTGGTGCTGAGCCCCCCACTTCACTGGCCTCTCTCTGGAGATAACACTTATCGTTCACAGAAACCTTAGGAGTTATTTAAAGTGTGGATCCCTAAATCATATGCATTAGGACTGGATTCAATCCGTAACGTGGAAGATCGGTGCTTAAAATTTTAAGGTAATTTCCAATTGAGCGGACATATGCAGTGTTTACAGTTTTTTAAATTACTATTATTATTTATTTATTTATTATCAGTGGGTGCTGCAGCACCCTCAGCACCCCTACTTCCCGTGGCTATGTTGCATTTACATTTCAATCTAGCTATAACGCGGATCTTCCGCGATACTTTGGCGATATGGATTGAATCCAGCCGTTAGTCCGTCAATTTGAGACGTAGAGTAAAGTATATGTCCATGCTGGTATACAGCACATAATCAGAGACACTCAGAGATCTGAATCAATAGCAACATTTGCAGTGCCTCATCCTGACTAGACCAGTGTTAGGAAACCAAACATTTTGAGAGCCCAATTGAAATTTGAAGTGTAGATGGGAGGGACAGCCAGGTTCTCATTGGCAGTACGGCTACACACAGGCATTAACTTGCAAAATGGGGATATCAACACAGGGAGTCACTTTTTCCATGAGGAGAAGACGTTTGGCCCAGGGCATCCTGGAGCGTCTGGCTCAGACAGTCCTGGCTGGGTTGCCGTCTGGTGTGTGTGTGTGTGTGTGTGTGTGTGTGTGTGTGTGTGTGTGTGTGTGTGTGTGTGTGTGTGTGTGTGTGAGAGAGAGAGAGAGAGAGAGAATATATGCAGCTGGGTCACTCTCTTACCTCTGGCTGGCAGATTCTGCGGCCAGACGACCACATAGCCAAGCAGCGCTACATCGGGGGCAAGAACGTCCTGACCAAAGGAACGCCAGAGTGGGTCTCCTTCGATGTCACAGACACAGTCAGGGAATGGCTTATGTACCGAGGTGAGTGGGCCAAAGCCCTAATGGTCCCTGTCTCATACCATATGTTGCATATCAAAGCATGAGCCAAAAGGTATTTGGAAACTCAATTTCATTTGGACAAAGGAAAATGGCCTCAAGGAAAATACCACTTCCTCATATTGCCGTGCTCTCTTTTTCCCTCAGAGACCAACCTCGGCCTAGAGATCAGTGTGCACTGCCCCTGCCACACCTTCAACACCAACGGTGACATTATCGAAAACGTCAATGAGGTGCTAGAAGTCAAGTTCAAAGGTAAAATGACATGAGGTGCCTCATTTAAGAAACCAACCATTTCTGATTCCTCCTTTTTGGCTTTTCCACTGCTCATCACAGCCCCTCTTTCTATCCGTATGAGCTCTGATTTAGAAAAAGACCAGTGAACATGGGCCTCAATGGGTAATACTTCTTTGGCACTTTTTTTTATGAAGATGATGGTTTTCTTCTCAGAGAGAGTGAGGTGAGAGAGAGAGAGATAGAGGAAAGATAAAGGGAGTGAGAAAGGCAGAGAGAGAGTGAGGAAAAGAGAGGAAAGGGAGACAAGAGGACTAGAGAGAGGAAAGAAAGAGAGGAGAGAAGATCATGGGAATACAATTGGTCTGGTATCTCACTTAGCATTGGGGCCTCCGGGTCCCTGGTCCTGGGAACGATCCCCTGACTGGCTTGGCCACAAGGAATGTGCTACCACGGCACTCAGACGCTTGGCCCCAAATTAAAGAGGGGCTCCATATCCACCGGCAGGGTCTCTCCTGAGATCTCTACTGCTTTTGCTATCAGGGGCAGATTGGATGAGCAGACACTAACCCAGGGGGAGGACAGAGGGACCAGCTCTGGTGGAGAAGGAGGAGGAGGAGGAGGAGTGAGAGAAGAAGGAGTGAGAGGAGGAGGAGTGGGGCTGTAGGTGATGCCTGAAGTCCAGCCTCTTACCAGTGAAGACAAAGCTTTTAATACATTACAGAAAGTACTATGACTAAAACAGCAGTGGTGAATTCTAATTCTGTATAACTGACTCAGACATACACTATGATACACCATTCCTGAGCTGAGGGGCAGGGTCCCTTGCTCACAATTCTGTTAAAATATTTGGGTCTACATTTGAATTGACCTGAACTTTGCTTCTAATGGACTAGGACTGCACTTCAGCTTGATTCACCAAATCTATCCCTTTTATTTATTTATATGGAATGGTCTTGGTCTATGTAGTTTCATCCACTAATGACACCTCCGTACTAACGCCTGACGTCCCTGTGTCTTCCTCCTGTAGGTGTGGAGGGTGACTACGATGAGAGCCGCTGGGACCTGGGCAGACTGAAGAAGCAGAAGGAGCAGCTCTTCCCTCACCTCATCCTCATGATGCTGCCCCCTCACAGGATAGACGCCCAGTCCTCATCCCGCAGACGCAAGAGAGCCCTGGACACCAACTACTGCTTCTCGTAAGTAACTAACCACCTCACTCTTCTAAATAAATTACTAAGTTACTGTGCAAAATCAACCCGTGAAATCATAGCTGAAAGAACAACGATTTTAGAGTGCATGTCATATATTTAGATGAAAATTTACTGCAGGATGAGTAGCCACATTTTTGTCCAATAGATAAATAGCCCCTGGTTACTCCTGTAAGCAACACAGTAGATCAAGTTGGATCTCAAATGGCAATGGTGGCTTCTCTCATTTCTAATTTACTTGGCAGAGGAGCGATGTGTAGGAATAAGCTGGTTAATTTGCTATCAGATAGTCTGTGGCATGGCAGAGGCATTAGCAACCTGATACAAGTCGAGATCTGTCCCTGTATTGAAGTGTACGACAGCTACCTCCCTCCCCTCTCTTACATGCTGTCTCCTCCCCTCCTCTATGGAATCCCTCTGTCAGTCTGACTGACAGCAGTAAGACACCTGGGCTGCCTCCAAGAGGGAACTGAGGACACACCTTCCAGTGGAATGTCTGGTCTTCTTAGGGCTCAGTCAGACTGCATGCATGTAGTGAAATGTACACAACCTGGAAATAGAGCGTTTCTCCTTCAGGTGAGGTATTTCATTGCTTCATAAAGATCTCTCTCTCCTGCCTGCTGTAGTAACTATGAGGAGAACTGCTGTGTACGACCCCTCTACATTGACTTCCGCCAGCACCTGGGCTGGAGGTGGATCCACGAGCCTAAGGGATACTACGCTAACTTCTGCTCTGGGCCCTGCCCTTACCTAAGGAGCGCAGACACCACACACAGCTCGGTGAGACACGGCTTGTACACTACTAATGCACTCATTACCCTGTGTTAAGTATTATTACCACTAAATTACACAATGGAATGCAGGCACTTACAAGCAGGTACTGTATGTTGGCACACCTAAACAGACAACACCCACCTACACACTCTCACAACCTGATAGCCTGAGGTTTCCCATGCCAATATTACCAATTACCAACCCCTCATCACATTGCCTAGTCTTAAGGCTCTATTCAATCAGATCTGCTTTAGCTGACATCCGCATAACGGTTGTTTTGGCGGTGTCGGAGGTGGAACTGTGTTAGTGCTGTCAAATCCACAAGTGGCTCCTGGCATTATACCTAAAGCGGACATTACAATTGAGTCACACTGGATCGTGAGATGTAATCTGAACCTCGATTAGGCTGATAGAAATCCGCATTTTTTAGTTGAATGATTTTCTATTTGAGCATCATTATTTCTATATAGCCTACACTTTCTCATTCTGAACTTCTAATGCGAGTGGGACGGGTGTGGCTTTGTGACAATGATCAAGAGAAGCTGCTCACCAATTTGAAAGCTCCAACGCAGTTACATCTCCGACACAGCCATGGGGGTGTCACCTATCGCCGGTTAACGCTTGATCTGATTGAATCTAGGCCTTAGTGCAACTTGTTTGTCTAACTTCAAAATCAAACTTGTTTTTTATCCAAATGAAATGAAAGGGAATAACAATGATTTGTGTAGTGATTGTACCTGGTCTGACATCCCCTCCCTTCCTCCATCCCTCTGTAGATGCTGAGTCTGTACAACACCCTGAACCCTGAGGCATCTGCCTCTCCCTGCTGTGTGCCTCAGGACCTGGAGCCCCTTACCATCCTCTACTACGTGGGCCGCACCCCCAAGGTGGAGCAGCTCTCCAACATGATCGTCAAGTCCTGCAAGTGCAGCTAAGGGCCCCGGGCCCAGCACACTGGGATCTGACAGGGCCACACACGGCACTACACTGAGGGAGGGGAAGGGGAGGGTGGCGTGCTGTCTGTCCCACCACCAAGAGTACCTCTGTCCACCCTCACAACACTCTTCCCCCCTCCTTAGTCGAGCCCACGCAGAGGCCCTGCAGAGAGAGACGCAGCCCACCACTCTACCCACAATTCCCAGGCTGTGTGCCCAAATGACTTTCAAACATCACTCCAGACCCAGCAATCTCAACATAACTTTTTATTGGCCTTTTACATTGGTTTTTTTCTTCTCAATGTCAAGTGTTTTTCCCTCATTCTTTTGTCAATATTTCAGCCTTCTGAACTGCCTTTAGCTTTGTGCCATATGACCACGGGCATTCAAAGCCAACCTCTGTCTGCTCAGAGAAAAAAAACAGACATAAGCTGTTCTAGCCATGACCACTGCCTACTCAAGGACATACAGTAGTTGCAGTCAAAAAGAAAGACCGACTGAGAACCTGGATTTACAGTGCAAATTAATCAAAGCGGCTAAAGCAAAAGCTCTGTCAGGCTTTTGTTTCCTAAAGAGAACCATCCTTTTTAATGGAGGGCCGACACAAGGCCTTGACGCACAGGACAAACACTGTCCATGCTGGAAACTTAGCGCAGCGTGCACCACATCTCCCTACACTGTTAATGTAGGACAGATGTTGATGGACTCAAATAATCTTAGGAAAAATACAAAATGCTGGAAAACAACTTTTATTCAACAACGTATCTTTATGGTTATGTTTACCTCTGTTATGCAACAGAATGTTTTCGGGATTTTTTTCTTAAATGAAGCAGACTTTTCTGTTGTACAAGACGATGTATGTCACTAAGTGAACACTTCACTAGATCACAAACTGTATGTCTTTATTGCTATTACTCTTAAACACTTTTTTTTTTATTAAAAATGGTTTTGGACGAACAGATGTGTTATTTTTTTTTCTCAAAATCTTTAGTTAATCATAATTTGTGGGTATCAGTATAAATTATGCATTTAGGCCCAGCTCAACAGCTATTCATATTGAGATGCTAGTGACGAAGAGCCAGATTCAAATCAGATCCACTTAAACCAAAATCCGCATAGATTATGTTGACGGTGTCGGAACTACGTTAGAGCTGTCAAATCCACAACGGCTCCTGGCATTATACCTAAAGTGGACATTGCAATTGGCTGCACGGAGTCGCATTGAAATAAATCCCATGCAACCTTGTTTACAAGTTCAAACACTGGAATGTGAGATGTAATCTACACCTCGATTACGCCAATAGAAATCCTTATTATTTAGGTTAATGATTTTCAATTTGAGCGTCATTATTTCTATATAGCCTACACGTTCTCATTCTGAACTTCTAACGCGAGTGGGACGGGTTTTGCTTTGTGACAATGATCACAAGAGCAGCTGCTCACCGATTTGACAGCTCCAATGCAGTTTCACCTCCGAGACCGCCAAAACATCAGCTATGCTGGTGTCGGCTATCGCCAGTTAACGCTGGATCTGATTGAACTAGGCCCTAGTCCTTAAACATATGGATGAAAAGTGTTCACTTTCAGAGGTGCAGGAAACTGATTTGATTGACAACCTTTTTTAAATGAAAAAGATACAATGCAACCATTTACAGTACATATAGACACTGGCATAATAAACATATTGCTACTGATATTAATGGTCTTGCTTTGAAATGGTCACTGATGGTTACCACACTGTTTGGTCCTCACAATACAGCAGTTGGGGAGACACATGCAAAAGGCTATTAATAACCCACTAACTTAGTATTCCCTTACAATAATACATGACCCAACCGCTGCATATGTTCTACCACAGTTTGTACTCGAGATAACAGCATGCTGTCATACACTCTTAGAAAAAAGGGTTCCAAAAGGGTTCTTCGGCTGTCCCCATGGGAGAACTCTTTTGGGTTCCAGGTAGATCCCTCTGTGGAAAGGGTTCTACATGGAACCCAAAAGGGTTCTACCTGGAACCCAAAAGGGTTCTTCAAAGGGTTCTGCTATGGGGACAGCCGAATAACCCTTTTAGGTTCTAGATAGCACCTTTTCTTCTAAGAGTGTAGGTTTAGTAGGCGTTAACACTTGTCAATCAATGATATTTCTGTATCAAAATCTGTGTAATAAACAATGCTTGTGCCAAACTTTACACCTGAATCACATGTAGGAACAAACTCTTCATCATAAGTAATCATCTTGTTAGAATTAAATAATACAATATTCAAGTATTTTTAGCAAAGTAAAACAGTCAAAAACAGTCATCTAAAATAACAACACTTACAAAATTGAACATGAAACCCTGAGTACGTTCACTACACAAAAGATGGCATTGCATAGGCAGGCCCCTTCATTACCATGTTCTGAGCATAGGGGCCATGAGACAGACATTCAACAGCTTTTTCCCTCAGGTTGTAAAGGAGCACACACACTACAAATGGTCAACATTGCCATTGCATTACAGTCAGAAACGACTGACTGCAGGGTACTGTGTGGTCTACAGTAACATACAAAGTCACATACAATAGAGTTAAAGATAAAAACAGATTACTGTGCAGGTCTTTAACAGTATACTGCACATTACTAAGCCAGAGCGCACAAAGAATGGCGATATACCAGATGTACACTTCGTTACAGTTCATAGTGGGAAAAGCCTGGTATATACTGTTACTGTGTAGAGTATAGACAAACAAGGGAGTGCAAAAATGAGAACTGTAAAGGCAACAATACAACTAATTCAAGTGTCCTGCTAGCCAATGTAACAAGTCTTCATGAAGAGAGAGGAATTCCTTCAGAATACATGAACAATGACCAAAAATAACTGGATTGGCAACTGTTTGTGATACTCTCTAATAGAGTCATTCATGAGTGAATGGGGTGGTTGGTTCCCAAGCACAACATCAAGACTGCCTCACCAGACAAGACTTCCTTTACTTTCTCATTTCTAAGTAAAACAAGATTTAATTGAGACAATCTCTAGAATACTGGTCAATTGCAGTTGATATCTCTTGTACCCAAACTTTCCTACATAGCAAACCTGTCTTTAAAATGAGACAGAAGGGTGTGATGGAGCACATCTCTCTGGCTGTACAGTAATTGCTATAAAGTATTAAGACTATACTCTGAGCTCCAGTGATAGTGCCCATGGGGGCTCTGGTGGGAACCAGCTGTTGCTGGGTGTCTGTCACTGAAGTCTTTCCATGGCATAGACAGACAGACAGCATGGGAGAATGAGGGATGACAACTGCTGCGATAGGGGTTATGGAGTTGGGGCTGGGGGAGTGGGGTGATACAGAAAGCCACTGGAAAGTCTTGGGCTGTGCAACAGATCCCGACCTGTGTCAGGCCCAGGGATTCCTGAAAGGGCAGGCTATCCTCTTGCATGTCTCCATCACATAGAAACAGTAACAGGGCCTGGTGTGATGTCAGACATACTGTCTCAGCAGTGGGATCCTTAAGTTGTTTCCTACCCAGCATGCACCTGTGGTCACATGCAGAGACACCTCTGTCGGCAAGATGGTGTGCCGTTGCTCCCGTCCTCTCTCTGGTTCGCTCTCTGTCATCTGAGCTTGGACCCCTGGCCCTGAAACAGTTTGCTGTACACAGAAAGACCTGCAGAGGAAAGAGGATAACTGAGATTAATAAAATAACTACATTGGGGTGAACATCGAATGTTGTGATTTCAAGGCCGGATCTTCAGTGTGCAGTAGTTAGAAACTATCCTACTGTGGGAACAGTTCAGGGCAGAAGCTGGGGAAGAAAGTACTGCATAGTGCTGACTGGTGCATCTTACACTTAAAAAAAATGAGCATTTGGAGTCAATGGCAAATACAAATATTGTGAGGAGTTGAGCCAAACTTTAAAAGTTCTATATGGAATTTTATTTTGCTAACGGTTGCAAAATTATGCTAGATCAGGGGTTTTGAAACTGGGGTCTGCGGAGGTACTGCACGGGGTCTGCGATTTTTAGTATTATCATCTTTTGGGAAAATATTTGTTGGATTTTGTTATGTGAAAAATTTGAATTTTATGAATATCGCTAGCTGCAACAGAATACTAACGTGGATATACTGTCTCTGCATCCAGTATGAAGGAAGTTAGAGGTAGTTTCACGTGCGTACACTAACTAGTGCTAGCAGCATACCACTGCTGGCTTGCCTCTGAAGTTGAGCAGGGTTGGTCCTGGTTGGTCCCTGGATGGGAGACCAGACGCTGCTGGAGGTGGTGTTGGAGGGCCAGTAGGAGGCACTCTTTCCTCTGGTCTAAAAACAAATATCCCAGGGCTGTTAAACAGGTGTCCTGACTCTCTGTGGTCACTAAAGATCCCATGGCACTTATTGTGTAGGGGTGTTAACCCCGGTGTCTTGGCTAAATTCCCAATCTGGCCCTCATACCATCATGGCCACTTAATCATCCCCAGCTTCCAATTGGCTTATTCCTCTCTCCTGTAACTATTCCCCAGCTCGTTGCTGTAAATGAGAACGTATTCTCAGTCAACTTACCTGGTAAAATAAGGGTTAAATAAAACTGGAAGTCTAGAGGAACAGTTAGTATGCTAGCTGTTCCTGTTCATCCAACTCTCGGGAAGTAGATAAATGGTTCATTGCCAAAATGTTGAACTATCCCTTTAATATGGAGAAAATTACAGTCATTAGAGCTAATTACAGGGTTTTTCTGTATAGAAAATTCTTAGGCGGGCCGTGTAAGTGGTAATGTTTGGGATGGAAAAACAGTCTCAACTTAAATGACCAAAACCAGATAGAAAGCATGCAGAAAAGATATTGAACTATATACAGTGCAGTCAGAAAATATTCAGACCCCTTGACTTTTCCACATTTTGTTACGTTACAGCCTTATTCTAAAATGGATTAAATTGTTTTTTCCCCCCCTCATCAATCTACACACACAATACCCCATAATGACAAAGCAAAAACTGGTTTTTAGAAATTTGTGCAAAAAAACTAAAACAAATGAAATATCACATTTACATAAGTATTCAGACCCTTTACTCAGTACTTTGTTGAAGCACCTTTGGCAGCGATTACAGCCTTGAGTCTTCTTGGGTATGACACTACAAGTTTGGCACACCTGTATTTGGGGAGTTTCTCCGATTCTTCTCTGCAGATCCTCTCAAGCTCTGTCAGGTTGGATGGGGAGTGTTGCTGCACAGCTATTTTCAGGTCTCTCCAGAGATGTTAGATCGGGTTCAAGTCCGGGCTCTGGCTGGGCCACTCAAGGGCATTTAGAAACTTGTCCCGAAGCCACTCCTGCGTTGTCTTGGCTGTGTGCTTATGGTAGTTGTCCTGTTGGAAGGTGAATCTTCGCCCCAATCGGAGGTCCAGAGCGCTCTGGAGCAGGTTTTCATCAAAGATCTCTCTGTACTTTGCTCCGTACATCTTTCCCTCAACCCTAACTAGTCTCCCGGTCCCTGCCGCTGAAAAACATCCCCACAGCATGACGCTGCCACCACCATGCTTCACCGTAGGAATGATGCTAGGTTTCCTCCAGACGTGACGCTTGGCATTCAGGCCAAAGAGTTCAATCTTGGTTTCATCAGACCAGAGAATCTTGTTTCTTATGGCCTGAGAGTCCTTTAGGTGCCTTTTGGCAAACTCCAAGCGGGCTGTCATGTGCCTTTTACTGAGGAGTGGCTTCCATCTGGCCACTCTACCATAAAGGCCTGATTGGTGGTATTTCTGTTTTTATTAGAAAAAAACCTGTTTTGGTTTTGTCATTATGGGGTATTGTGTGTAGATTGATGAGGATTTTTATTTCTTTAATCTATTTTAGATTAAGGCTGTAACGTAACAAAATGTGGTAAATGTCAAGGGGTCTGAATACTTTCTGAATGCACTGTATATACTGCCTTCAGAAAGTATTCACACCCCTTGACCTTTTCACATTTTGTTGTGTTACAGCCTGAATTTAAAATGGATTACATTTAGATGTTGTGTCAGTGGCCTATAATGTCAAAGTGGAATTATGTTTTTAGAAATGTTTAGAAATTAAAAAAGCAGGCATTGAATATCCCTTTGAGCATGGTGAAGTTATTAATTACACTTTGGGATGGTGTATCATTACACCCATCAAATCAAATTTTATTTGCCACATGCGCCGAATACAACAGGTGTAGACATTACAGTGAAATGCTTACTTACAAGCCCTTAACACTTTTTATTTTCTTAAAAACTGCATTGTTGGTTAAGTAAAAAATAGATAAGTAAAAACAAAAATAATAATAATAATTAAAGAGCAGCAGTAAAATTAATACCGCGGGTACCGGTACAGAGACAATGTGCGGGGGCACCGGTTAGTCGAGGTAATTGAGGTAATATGTACATGTGGGTAGAGTTAAAGTGACTGCAAACATACAGGCGTCCTTCCTAAC